CGCTGCGCAGGCGCGCTAGGGGGCTGCCCGCGGGAAAGGGGAGGGCGGGGGGAGAGGCGCTCAAAGGGCCGCGCCAGCGGAAAACGGGCCGGCGGAGCGGAAAACGGGAAGGCGGGGGAGGGGGAGCCGGAGGCCGCGAAGCGTTGGCTTGGGGTGGCTTCCCCCTCCCCGAGGCCTGGGGTGTCTTAGCCGCTGAGGAACGGGGCCACAGCCTCTGCAGCTGGTTTTCCCAATCTGACGGGCGCCATTTTACTGCCCAGAGGGCTTTCCTCCGTTTCTCTCCCCCCTCCTCTTCCCCTCTGACACTACTTCCGGTGGTGACGTGTGTTCACTTCACCCGGACGAATGAACCTCCTACTCAGACTATGGGGGTGGAGAAAAGGAAGGCGGGGTGTGAGTCGAACAAGGCTGCAGTATGGCGCACGCGCCGAAGGTAGCGAAGAGGCGGGAACCTAGAGAGAACAGACACCGCCTACAGTGGGCGGGGTGTGAGGGCGTCTCCTGATGGCAGCCCTTCTCGTGGGTGGGTCTGTTTAGCGGTTTTAGGTGGACTTTCTGCTCATGTGGAGGAGATAACAGGGCGTCATCCCTACGTTTATGCACAAGATGCAACTCTCTGCGTGAAGCCTCACTGAAAATACTGAGCATAATCAATTCTTGCTTACGCCAAGTTGGGGGGGTGTAGAGTCAATCGGAATGCCCCGCCCCTTTCGCCCAGAAGGCGGGACATCGGGTCATGACGTCATCAGAGTGCGCCAAAGGCGCTGGTCTGGAGGCGAAAAATGTTGGATTTGTTGTTGGCTCCTGCGGGCTTAGTCCTGCTTCGGGGTGAGCAACAGACGCTCAGGGTGTTGTGGGGATGGTTCAAGGAGCGCTAGTTGGGGTATGGGGCCGTAGGTCACTGGCCAGGGTAGAGTGTGCCACTGGTTTGTGAAAGCTGGCACTCCTTCAGTGTTCTCATGCCGTTTATCTAACTCTGTCTCTCTAGACTCGGTGGAGTGGGAAGGGCGCAGTCTCTTGAAGGCACTTATCAGGAAATCTGCCCTCTGGTGAGTAGCTTCTCCCTACCCAGCCCTAAAAGGACGGGCCCCACCCTTTTGACTTTCGACTTTGTCTACGCTTCAGTGGGGAACAAGTCCACATCCTGGGATGTGAAGTGAGCGAGGAGGAGTTTCGTGAAGGTTTTGACTCCAATATTAACAGCCGGTAAGTCAGGTAGGGTCACTAGGAAAGGCCAATATTACAAAAAAAAAAAAAAAGAAATCAGGAAAAAAAAATAAATTTTTTAAAACTAAATCAGAAGGGATTTCATTGGGTGTGGGACCACTTTTGCTAAGGAACTTCCACATAAAGCAGCAACAGAACCTCATGCAAAGTAGCTGTTACTTAACTATCCAGTGAGACAATGAATAGATAACGGGGTCTCTTCAAGAGGAGAGAATCAAGAGGAAGGATGAAGAGCAACTGCGGGGTAAAAAAAGAGAATCTGGTGGTGCTTAATTAAAAATGGATCCCAAATGAAAGGACTGCAGACGGTTGAGGAAGCACAAATGCAAAACTAGGAATACCTGAGATAACTGAGGTCAACCAGATAAGCAGCTGCCTGGTACAAGCAGTTTAAACAAGACACAAAAAAGTTGTGTTATCCTAAGAGCTTAGGGATGGACTCTGGGACCTGTGGACTTGGATTACTGCATGGCCTTTCATCTGATTCCCATGTTTTCAGGCTGTCCTCTTCCTCCCCATTCTCCACAGTGTCATCACTGAACTAGGTGTGGTCTTGTTATTTTCGTCCTAGATATTAAAAAACCCTTCAATTGTTATTTTATTCGGTTATTAAGCTTCGGTTTGCTTGGCTCTACAACCAACACTCTTGATACCAGCAGCCAGGAAATTAAATGACGAATTGCATTGGGAGATTCTTCTGTCAGCTCTCCAAAGTACTTAAGAGCAAGGATGTCAGTCTGGAGACTTAAGGTGCACATTATACAGACCATAGTCTTTGCCATTACTTGCTATGCATCAGAAAACAGGACAATGACTAGGGATGATAGATGGAGAGTTGATGCCTTTGAGCTGTGGTGCTGGAGAAGAGTATTGAATATACCATGAACTGCTAGGAGAACAAACAAGTTTGTCCTGGAGACGGTGAAGCCTACCTGCTCCTTGGAGGCAAGGATTCTGAAGCTTGGTCTGACATACTTTGGACATGTTGCGAGGCGGAATCAGTCCTTAGAGAAGGATGTCATGCTTGAGAGGGTGGAGGGACAGTGAAGAAGAGGAAGACCCTCAGTGAGATGGATTGATTCAGTCACTAGGGGAACGGGAATAGGTGTGTTGGAGACAAGATTGGCAAGGGATAGAGCAGGGTTTAGGACTGTTGTGCATAGGGTTGATATGAGTTGCAGGTGACTGGACGGCACATAACATCAACAGGTTTTTACATGCCATCAAGTCAACTGCAACTCATAGTGACCCTATGTACAGGAGCCCTGAACTCTATTCTGAGCCAATCTCACTATTCCCCGTATACCTACCCCCATTTCCCCAGTTACTGTGTCAGTCTACTTCATCCAGAATCTTCCTCTCTTGCACTGCCCCACCCTTCCAGGGATGATGTCCTTCTCCAAGGACCAGTCCCTCCTGGCCACATGCCCAAAGTATGTGAGACAGAGCTTCAAAATCTTTGCCTCCAAAGAGCAACTTGGTTACAACCCCTTCCTAACAGACCTGTTTGTTCTCTTGGCAGTTCAGTACTCTTTTTCTAACACCACAATCCAAAGGTATCAGTCTTTTGCCATACTTAGTCATTGTCTAACTCTGATGCATAGCAAGTGATTGCAGAGATCATGGCCTTGGTCAGGCACACCTTGGTCTCTGGACTGGCATCGTTGCTTCTTAGCACTCTGGAGGGGTCCCTGATTTTTCTAATGCCGTTTGGCTTTTGAGTTCCTGGGTAACACTAACAGGATTTTTAACAGACAGCATTTCCAGGACTTGCTCACTGATAATGGCATCCAGATTAGGCACCCACCAATGTGATTCAGTAAAAAATTAAGACCATTAGTAGACTGCTTTCTCCTCCCTAGCTCAGTGAATAATACTAATTTACCCTTGAGGTTTTTTCAGCCCTAGATTTGTGTTCGTCATTATTGTGATGGAGGTAGTACTTACTGTTTGTTAAAATGAAATTCACAAAGGGAGAGGAGAGGAAGGAGACATCGTCGGGGAGCAAGTTTTGCCATCGTGGAGTTAGGATTTCTAGATATGACTAATGGTGGTGATGTTGTTGTTGTTATGTGCTGTCGAGTTGTTTGCAATTCATAGCGACCCTGTGTACAACAGCCCTAAACCATGCTCTATCCCGTGCCAATCTCATTGCCTCTGACACACCCATCCCGATTACCCCAGTCACTGAATCAATCCACCTCATAGAGGGTCTTACCCTCCTGCGCTGTCCCACTGTCTACCCAGCATGATGTCCCTCTCTAAAGACCTGTCTCTCCTTACAACATGTCCAAAGTATGTCAGGCGCAGCCCCAGAATCCTTGCCTCCAAGGAGCAGCCTGATTTAACCCTCTCTAGGGTGAATCTGTTTGTTTTCTTGGCAGTCCATGGTACATCCAATACTCTCCTCCAGCACCACAGCTCAAAGGCATCAATTCTCCTTCTATCCTCCCTAGTCATTGTCCAACTCTCTGATGCATAACAAGTGATTGCAAAAACCATGGCCTGTATCAGGCACACCTTAGTCTCCAGAGAGACACCGTTGCTCTTGAGCACTTTAGAGAGGTCCCTAACCTCAGACTTTCCCATCACAATACGTCTTTTGATTTCCTGGCTACTGGTGCCAAGAGTGTTGACCGTGGAGCTGAGCAAACTGAAGCTGTGAACAATCTCAATCTCTTCGCCATCCATCCTGATGCTACCAATTGGTCCAGTGGTGAGAATTTTTGTCTTCTTGACATTGAGCCTCAGTCCATATTGAAGGCTGCAGTCCTTGACCCTCTGCAATAAGTGCATGAAGTCCTCAGTTTCAGCGAGCAAAGTTGTGTCATCTGCATAACCCAGATTGTTGATAGATCTGCCACCTATCCTAACGCCACACTTCTCCTCATAGAGCCCAGCCTCTCGGATAATCTGCTCTGCATGCAGGTTGAAAAGGACACATCCCTGGCGTACACCCTTCCCAATTTTGAACCATGCAGTCTGACGACTGCCTCTTGGTCCAGGTATAGGTTTTGCATTAGCACGATTAAATGTTCTGGGATTCCCATTCTTCTCAGAGTCAGCCACAGTTTGTTATGATCCACACAGTCAAATGCCTTTGCATAATCAATGAAACACAGATAGACATTCTTCTGGTATTCTCTGCTTTCAGCTAAGATCCATCTAACATCATCTACAATATCCCTAGTACCACGACCCCTTCTAAGCCCAGCCTGGACTTCGGGCAGTTCTCTGCTGATGTCCTGTTCCAGTCGTTTTTGGATAATCTTCAGTAGAATCTTGCTTGCATGTGAAATCAATGATATTGTTCTGTAGTTTCCACACTCAGTTGGGTCACCCTTCTTTGGGGTGGGACAAATATAGATCTCTTCCAGTCATTTGGCCAAGTGGTTGTTCTCCAGATTTCTTGGCACAACTTGGTGAGTACATCCACGGCAGCATCTGTTAGCTGAAATATGTCAATTGGTATACCATCTATTCCATGGGCCTTATTTTGCAAACATTTATCAAGCATGTATGTGTCTGTTAACTGTTAAATGCCAAGAGGTTAACATCTCTATTTTGTAAATGAAGAAACCAAGTTTTAGAGAAAGGAAGTCATTTCTCAGGTGACTTTGGAAAAGGCTTGGACATGGTGACCTTGGCACAAGACTGCTTTAACACCAAAGTCTTACTTTGAAACACTGTAGCCTGCCTCTCACTATTAGGATATTCTTATTCGTTAATGTACCATCCAGTCAGAACTGACCCATAGCTGACGCTTCAGTAGGTTTTCAGAGGCAGTTTTAAGATATTAGTGAAAGTCAGTTAAAAGAGTGTCACAAAGAGAATGAAATGTGAACTGGAGCAGAAGACACAGTGTTATGTTTTCTCTTTGTAGAGTGGTTTACCATGATCTCTTCAGAGACCCCTTCAATTGGTCAAAGACTGGAGAGACCCTTCCTGGGGGAGCTTTGGGTGCATTGAGCGACCTGTGCAGGAAGAAACATCCTGGTCCTGTTACCATTGTTCTTGATTCACTGAGCTGGCTGCTGCTTCACCTCCCGTGCACCACACTCTGCCAGACCCTGCATGCTATACATCGTCAGGACTCCTACTATGGTGAGACCTCGCCATCCTTCTACTGTCATGGAGTATATTACGCTTCCATTCCACCCTAGGAAAAGACATCAAAGATCTCCAGCTGGTCAGATGTAATCCATCTCTGACTTTACTCCTTCCAGAGGTCCTTGTGATCTTCAGGTGGTACTGAAGCTTTCATCATCTGGTCTCTGCTTGCTTTGCAGCCTCATCTCAGACCTCCTTTCATAACTCCCAACTTTTCTGTAATGCATTCTATCTACCAGCCATCTTTTTTCCTTTTTGGCAAGTACCTTTTTACTCTTTATTTACTCAACAAATAGTGCATATAAGGTATCAAGTAAAAATGTAGATAATGGCGGGGAGCTCTGGTGACCTGGTAGCAAGAAGCTGCGCTGCAGTCCCAGAGGTGCTCAGTTCGAATCCACCAGATGCTCTGCTGAAGGAGGGACAATCTCCTCCTGTACCAGTCAGATCTGATTTGACTGTACACACACAAAAAAATAATAAAAATAATAATAAATTTTTTTAAAAATTTAGATAATGGGAAAATAGACTTATAAACTCTATAGTCAGGCCCTTCCTTGAGCTCAAAGTCCCCCAAAGGTTGTAGACAAGTAAACAGGCCCTTAAAAGATAGACGGATAAGGCCCATGATAACCAATAGGTATCTGTCTTTTATCTTTTCTAGATGGAGAAAAGATTGTAATTCAACATTTGTCTTTCAATATGGCCATTCTAAGGTTATTTGAATATGGATGACTGACTGTGTGGATGGATGGGACTATATAAATGAAATATGTTGCCTTAACCACCTTCCATTCCATAAGAGGATTGGCCAGTCTTAATAAACTACAATAGGATTGTCTAGTTTTGCCAATAAATTGAACAACTCTAGCTGCAGAGATGGAATTCTCCTCAGAGAAGAGGAAAGAGACCTTCCCCTCCCCTGTGAAGAGGAGTCAGGAAAATGCAGGACACGCTTTGGAATGGCAGCAGCAGCCATGGGCAAACTGAAGAATTGACGTGAGGTGGGACTTTGAAGTCGGACAGTATTGGCAGGACTGAGAACTTTTTTGACAGTTGAGTAGAGAGCCAATATTGGCAGGACTTGGATCCATCCTCAGTCAATACACTTGGTACGAGCTTCAGATTACATATGGTAATGGGAGAATCTGCAGTGAGAGACCTCTCCAAATTACTAAGGAGCAGTGATAATAATTTGAGAACTAAATTGTGCCTGATTCAGACTATGGTCTTTTGAATCACTTGCTATACATCTATGAGCTAGACAGTGAATAAGGATGACAAAAAAATTGAAGCCCTTGAACTGTGATGTTGGAGAACAGTACTGAATATCTCATGGACTACCAGTAGAACAAACAGATATGTCTTGGAGAAAGTGCAGCCCGAGTGCTTCTTGGAGGACCTTGTTCTTGGAAAGGTGGACAGCAGAGGAGAGGAAGACCCTTAACTGGGTGCACTGACACAGTGACTACAGCATTGGGCTCAAGTATGTCAGAGATTGTGGGGATGGCACAAAATAGGACAGGGTTCATATCAGTTGATAAGTGTGTCATACTCGAGTCAATACTACATAACAAACACATGCACAAAGTACCTCAGTAAGGCGTTGAAGAATCAAGCCAATGAATTTACCCCAGGTAAACATCTTTGATTTCATTAAACCTACTGCTGTCAAACCAATCTTGAGTCAAACTTTTAAGAGGTTGAGACTGCCTCATCTTCTGTAGAGTAGCTGATAGATTTGAACTGACAGCCTTTTGGTTAGTAACCTGGAACGTATATCCTACGCCTCCTGGGCTCCTTAAGCCACCAAAACTTTACCAGGCAAAGATGCTCATAGGTAAAGAGTGTGATACTGCTTTTTATCTCAATATTTCTGTTTTATGTGTAAAACAGGAGCTGTAGTATTCAAAATCATGTGGTGTATCAAACTGAAAGTTCATTGCTCTAGAATCAGAATTGACTCATAGCTGGCTCTCCAGCCATTGGCCAAGGCAGTAAATGGCATAAGAGATGATTGCCCATCTTTCTTTCTCAGAGTCATTGGTGGATTTGAATCTCTAGAGAAGTGTGCAGCATCATAGAGATTACACCACTGGAGAGCCCTAAGTGATTTGTAGCATTGGGTAAATCTGCAAAAAGCTGCTTTAAAATTTTAAAGAGTTAAAAAAAAAACCCTTTTAAAGAGTAAAGATGTCACCTTGAGCTCTAAGATGTATCTGACCCGTGGTAATTTTCAGTTGTTATGGTGATTGAACAATAAATAAGGAAGACCAGAGAAGAATTGATGCCTCTGAATTATAGTTTTGGTGAAGAATATTGTATGTGCCATAGAATGCCAGAAGAATGAACAAGTCAGTATTAGAAGAATTACAGCTGTGTTCCTTGGAAGTGTTGATGAAGAGACTTTGTTTCACATGCTTTGGACAGGTCATCAGAGGAGGCCAGTCCTTGGACAGGGACATCATGCTTGACAAATAGTGAGCCAGTGAAAAAGAGGAAGATCCTCAACTTGGTTGTAGTGGCCACAATAATGAACTCAAATACAGCGACAGTACTGATGGCACACAAACAGAGAGTTTGGTTCATAGGGTTGCTGTGAATCAGAAATCATTGTGGGTACCTAACAACAGTATTAGGGTGAACTGCTAGAATTTGCCATTTTTGTGAGCTCTGAGCAGGCAATTTCAGCCTCTGAAAACCTGCTGGAACTATGGGTCAGTTCTGACTCGATACACAACAACCGAGACAGATCACAGCATTTTCATAAGCTCCACTTGAAAATACTGACCCTTAGGTCAGGAACTTGGAGATCAAAATGCTTTATTAAAAGTGTAGTGCGGTAGTACTGACCTTCAGTGTGTCAACTCTAACACCATGGCGCCCTCCAGAAAGTTCTTCATTGGGGGAAACTGGAAAAAAACGGGTGAAAGAAGTGTCTGGGAGAACTCATCACCACTCTGCATGTGGCTAAAGTGCCGGCCGATACCAAGGTTGTCTGTGCACCTCCTACTGCCTACATCAACTTTGCTCAGCAGAAGCTAGATACCAAGATTGCTGTGGCTGCACAGAACTGTTACAAAGTGACTAATGGGGCCTTCACTGGGGAGATCAACCCTGGCATAATCAAAGGCTGTGGAGCCACTTGGATAGTTCTGGGACACTCAGAAAGAAGGCATGTCTTTGGAGAGTCAGATGAGCTGATTTGACAAAAAGTAGCCCATGCCCGGGCAGAGGGACTCGGAGTCATTGCCTGCATTGGAGAGAAGCTGGACAAGAGGGAGACTGGCATCACTGAGAAGGTCGTTTCTGAGCAAACCAAGGTCATTGCAGACTTATGACAGACTGGAGCAAGGTCATCTTGGCTTATGAGCCAGTGTGGGCCATTGGTACCAGCAAGACTGCAACACTCCAGCAGGCCCAGGAAGTACATGAAAAGCTCTGGGGATGGCCCAAGTCCAATCTCTCTGATGTGGTGGCTCAAAGTACTCATCATTTATGGAGGTTCTGTGACAGGGGCCACCTGCAAGGAGCTGGCAAGCCAGCCTGATGTGGATGGCTTCCTGGTGGGTGGTACATCCCTGAAGCCTGAATTTGTGGACATCATCAATGCCAAGCAATAAGCTCCATTCATCTCTCCTATCCTCTTCCTGCTGAACCAGAGACCAGGCAGCCTGGAAGCCCAATAACTACCCCCCCACCCCACCCTGTGCTTCTGATGGTGTTACTTTCCCCCTCTCATGGCTGAGTATATACTGTACCTTTCTTTACCATTTACACCTTCCCTGCAATGGCTGGGGTCAGGCCAATCACTTCTCCACTTATTACAATGGTTTGAATGAAACATGTCACCAAGGTGGCTTCTCATTGACTGGGAGATAGGCGGAGCTTGCCCCTGGGTCCCCTCACTCCCCAGTGAGAGGGCAGGAGAAAGCATCCTTCTCTGTTCTTGTCCCATGCACATGCCATGAGAAAACCCTGTCCTCTCAGAGGCCAGGGATGCTACCCTCTCCCATGAGTTCAATGCCTGTGTGTATTGTGTGTGAACTGCCCCGTGTGAGGGGGAAATATCTGGCACTGAAAAAAAAAAGTGTAGTGCCTGACACAGTACATGTTGCAAAGGAGGGAGAAAGTCAAAGACAGTGACAGATCCTAGCAAATTAATGAAAACTGCATATCCTTCAGTGTATAAAAGGTAAGGCTGGTAAACGAGCAGAGATCAGATGATGAGAGCATTAATGCCATTCTGAAAGCCAGGAGGAGCTACTGAAGGATGAAGTCCTGGTACTGGTGAGGTCAAGCTCACATTAGAATAGTGTCATCCCCTGTACGATTAGTGCCTCTGAAAACTAGCTGAGTGGTCAGTTATGAGTCAGTTCTGACTTGATACACAATAATAGGGTCTCTGTGAGTCTCAATTTACTTCAGACTTGAGCTCTAATGGCCTAGTGGCAAGAAGCTACACTGCAATCCCAGAGGTACATGGTTCAAATCCACCAGATGCTCTGCTGGAGAAGGAGGGCAATCTCTTCCTGTACCAATCTGATCCAGTTTGTACGCACACAAATAATAATAAAGAAAAATTTTAAAACAAGGCAAGTTGGCTTTAGTAGAGCTCCAGTGGATCAGAATCCTTTTTCTTCTCACCTTTTTATTCCAGGCCCTCCATTTCTGTTTCTCTGCAGAGACCAGCCCCCCAGTGGAGCAGGTGCATGTGCTGGGCCTGCTGCATGAAGAGCTTCATGGCCCAGGCCCCGTGGGGGCACTAAGCAGCCTTGCGCAGACGGAGGTGACCCTGGGTGGCATGATGGGCCAGACCTCAGCCCACATCATTTTCCGGAGGCCCCAGCAACGCCCAACCCATCAGGTGAGAAGGGGAATGCTGGAAGCAGGGTTTGGCAGAAGGAAAGCATGATGGGATTAAGTAGTTGCTTATGCTTGGCTTCATTTAGAGGTGCCCTAGAGGTTAAGTATCAGATCACTTCCTAAAAGGCCCATCCATACCCACCAGCAGCTGCTTGGGAGAAAAATGGGACAATTTCCTCCTATAAAAATTTAGTCTCAGAAATCCTGTTGGCCTGTTAGTTCTTTAGGTTGCTCCAAACGAGAATCAATGTGAATGCAGTGTGTTTGTAATTCAGTCATCCCAGAGAGAGAGAGAGAGAGAGAGAGTGAGTGTGTGTGTGTGTGTGTGTGTGTGTGTGTGTGTGTGTGTGAGAGAGAGAGAGAGAGAGAGAAAAATCAGAGATCATGAGGATGGCACAGGCTAGGG